TGTAATCAAGCGCTAACCTTCCGTTGTCTCTTCCTACACCCCAAACACGAATTTGGGGAATTTTCTCGGAATGCACTACTGTCATAGTGTCTGGATCTATGAGAGTCAATTCGTTGTCGTCCAGTTCCATAATTAGCTCACGGCCCTAGAAGGTGAATTCCTTATTATACAGATAGACTTACTTCACTGACGGCTTCTCTTAGGTTGAAATTGCAATCGCTACAACAACAATAAAATTTGGAAGCTTGCTTTCAAAACAGAAAAAAATTGAGGATAGAAAAAATAAAAGAAGTCCGTCAATATTAAAATATAGAATAGATCCAAACTCACATCGCCCCATTTGCTTACATTATCCATCACATCATTACGACCAGTCGAAAGGTCCACAATCGCCCTAAAAAATCGATGGTAAAGTGACAAAAATTTTTACAAGATATGAGAATTTTCGAATATGATTTAGAATCTTGCCTATTCACAGCTCGCGAACTCCTTTCTGCAGTTAAATCTTCTTCAGCGATTTCTGTCCAACCAAGCGAACGCACAGCAAATCGAATTGGCTAAAAAATGATTAGAGTGAGTATGTCTACAGACTGCAGTAGAGTAAATCAAAATAGAAAAGGATCTTGCTGTCCACCTCTCCAAACCAACAGAACACTCTTTTTATAACGATTTCAAAAAGACGAGGGAAAGATGACAAATCTCACCATTAACGCGGGTCTGATATACAAAATCAAACCAGCAAGCGATGTTGCACCCATTTCCTATGTAAGATTCTTGTGTACTTGGAAAGTAGACAAAATTTGCATATCAAATGATTATGGAAATTCAATCCTTGGAAACCTCATTTCCTCGACTGTAGACGTTTCATTCACTGGAACTCAAAGAAAGACGGAATAAACTCGCTTGGGAAATGGGAAAAAGTGACGAGGCACATCCAATATATCTAGAACATAGGCGCTATTTTTTGGAGAGAAAGAGGAAGATTTACATGCTGAGGAGTTCAACCACCGATTGGAAAAAGGAATAACCCAGCGACCATCTATTTTGTTGCAAATAACTCAAGCGCAAACCTTGACAAGTCCAGATACTTTTTTTTTAAATTTGCAGAGTAGATAGGCTGTTTGCGAAGGCCCCTCATCACAAGGGACAGCCAGCTAACATCCAATACTTTGATGACCTGCTTATGGGCTAAGAATAAGAAATCTAGATTCGAGTTTGTGGGCGAAGTGCGCAAAGTGAGTGCATGCATCCATCTAAGCCCATCCAAGATGAGATAAGCCTTTACGTCTTCGGAACAAACGAGATGTTGCTTTTATGTCCTACACTGAGTAATGAAGTTACATTTAATTACGTAGCGTAAGGGAATACACTCTATGTCTGAGGTAACCTCTAAGGGCTTCATTCAGACTTTTAGTGATAGAGGATACTAACAAGTTGTTATGAACATTCGCTGAACTTACAGCGCAGATTCACACTGCATGCCTATTCCTTGTTTCCTATCAATTTCTGAAAGGGACTAAAGATCTTAGTCAGATAT